AACTGCGTCACTCAAACACATCTCAGATCTGCAATGTTACAGGAAATAAAGCCCTGACCAGGCTGTAGTATGCCCAATTCAATTGAAATAAATAGTACAAACTGGTCATTAACAAGTTTATGACTTGAATATTTATTTTTATGTTCCTTCTAGTAGTTTTCTTAAAGGTGACAGTTGAAAAATTTAGTTTATTTTTAGTTATTGTTCAGACTATCTTCTAAGGAAAATTATTGGAAACTCTTCCATCGAGGAATAGACAAAATAAGTGGCTTTACTGACAAAGCTACAATGCACTTGTCAGGAATATGTTTTTGTAGTGAAATGCAAGACAAATTGAAATATGATACTGTAAGTGATTAAGGTGTATGAGGTTATTCAAATTTGAACTTTCAAATCTTGAGTACATACAGAAAACGCAAGGTTAATAATTAACCACATTACTTAAAATGATAGATTTTGTTTACACTTGATGCATAATTTTAAAGTTCAAATTTTGTTAATTTTTGAGTTGCAATTTTAAATTTTAAAGACTTCTTTTCACAACATGAAAAGAAATAATAGTTGATGCCGCAAGATCACATGGACTTTCATTGTAATTCTGAAAATGTTTTGTGTATCCACATTTGTCTTTTGTGTGCTGTCGAAGGACACAATTCATGGAAGAAAATATAGGAATTTTAGAAAGAAGTCCTTGATAAAAACAAACTATATGAAATGTTAAATTTATTCAATTTTTATTGGGGTTCTGTAAATTTTCTCTGTATATATCTTCAGTCTGATTTCCAGGGCCATATTAACATATGTTCTGAAACACTGAGTGGTTTGGAGGAACAGTAACGATTTCTGAAATTTCTACAGAATTTAGGCGGCTATTTTAAGCTAGTAAAGGATGTCAGCACCAAAACATTTTGATATCATTCTAGCTGTTTATGAGATAATAAAACTTTGCCAATTACTTTAACTCTGTGTCCTATCTTTCTTGACCCTCTCATCGTGGGAACAATTTCTTCCTATCTACTCTATCAAGACCCCTCATGATCATGAATACTTCTGTCAAATTTCCTTTCAGCCATCTCCTCCTGGTAAAAGAGACTCAGCTTCTCAAATCTATCTTCATAACTGAAGATCCTCATCCCTGGAACCATTCTCATGAATCTTTTCTGTTCTCTCTCCTCTCTTCTTGACTTGCTATCAAGAAGAATCACTCAAAGTAGCTGCACCCTGTCCATTTCAATAACTTGGTTGTGTCTTTCTGAAGATCTGCATTATCCTCCTCTCAGTTTACAGTGGTTTTAAATTTTACATCACCTATGAATTTTAAACTTATGCCCTGTATGTCAAGGCCAAGGTCATTAATACTTATCAAAAAGTGCGAGAGTTATATCATTGACCATGAGACACGCCACAGAAGAGCCTTCCTCCAGACTGTAAAATATCCATTCACCAATATTCTGTATCATTCTTTCAAATAGTTGCATATCCATGTTTGTTTGGTCCTTATTATTCTATTAGCTGTAAGTTTGCTCATAAGTCTTTTGTGCAGCACTGTATCTGATGCTTTTTGGAAGGCCATATATGCCACATCAACAGCATTACCCGTATCTCACGGTTAACCATGTTGGCTATTCTGAATTGATCTCCACTTGTCCGTGTGAAGATTAGTTTTGTCCTGAATTATTGTTTCTAAAAGTTTGCCCTACACCAGAATTAAATTTACTGGTCGTAAATGCTGAGCTTATCTTTTATCTGTTTGCATTGAAAAAGGCACATGCTATGCACGTCAGCAGAGTTGAATTTGCTCTGCACTCTCTGTCCACTGTTTATTCCTCAAATTGTGCATCCTTTTTTCTGTATTGAAACTTTGATGAAGATAGATTATTCAGCAAAATCAATGTGTGTTTTAATCGAGGGCAGGTAATTTATTTTTCCTCGATGCAGGTGGAAGGTATTGAAAATTTAGATGAAAGCCAGTTATTTTCGCTGAAAGAAAAAAAATGCATTTCTATCTTATAGTAATCATCAAAGTACAGCAAACATTTTATTAACCGGCACCTATGAGACCAGGAGTATGCCAGCTGATCCGATATTCTGGTTGATCAAGAGGTCTACATAATCAGTGTAAAAACACACACTAAGTAAAAGAAATGTAATGAAGGGGGTGTAAACATTACTCTTTTACCTAATTTACAGCATAAATCTCAAATAATAATGCAACTTTGCCTTGAATAAAATTTCTCGGCAGAGAGCCTTTTCACTCACACACTCAACTGACTACTCGGACATCATGGAGATTGCAGTAATACAGTGAATTTCTGATCTTTGCAATATATAATTTTTGCCAGTTTATCAAGAATGCCAGCCAGTTCATAAGGTGCTGGTTAAAACAAAGTTTGTTATACTTGATAATCAATTGAATTTGAAGAGCAGTTGTTGTAGGTAGACAAAGATGAGCTGACTTCATTTACCAAGGCTCCCAATCAGCAGCATCTAATCCAAATTAATTCCAATAATGCTGTTTTTCTCCAGCACAACACAGAGATATCAATCAAGTGTGGTCTCCATTTAAGAATTGTCTTATCTATTTCCAAAGAGAACTTTTGATTTCCTATACTACCTTGTGACTTTTTAGCCCATTTGCCTTTGCCTGGCAGTGAACTCCAACACTGTTGTATATAAAGATTCACAACTTTTGGAATATACTTGTGTGTGGTGTGTTGAGAACTAAATGCAACAGTGGGAAGAGGGATGTGATTACATTTCATTCATATGAATTTGATGTGAACTATCATGATTAAGTTGGTACATAAATGCATATTATTGACCCAAGAAGGTCATGTATACAGCACATATAATAATAACATGGTTTACAGTGTTACTTGATCTCAAGTGCTTTATATTTGCAGCACCAACAAAACTAGCTAGAATATTGTTCAAAACTGAGACAGGAATAGCAATGTCCATATAATACAGAGGGATCACAAAGTAGGATAAATGGTTAACTGGTTTTCCATTCTGCTTTGTTTGTTTATTTACTACTCACAAATTAATAACTTATCATCCACATTTTTAATGTTTAGAACAGAAGAGCATGAAGTGAGGTCGGAATAGATGGAGGGAAGGCAACCATAGAGTTGCAAACCTGATTGGGAGTGTTCTTGGAAGTTTTAGAACTATATTGTCGTTCCTTCACTTTTGTTGGGTCAAAAACTGGAACTCACTTCTTAACAGCATCCTGAGTATACTTGCACCAAATGGACTGTAGTTGTTCAAGAAAGTGACTCATGATCTCTATTTAAAGGCAACTAGAGTTATGCAATTGGCCTACCACTTATGCTGTCATCCCATGAAAGAATAAACAAAAGTTTAAGCACAGGATATCTCTTGTTGTGAAATCTGCAAATGTTGTTACAATAGCCTAATAAAGCCTGGATCTCCTATTTATTCATGGTTTTGTGTAGGTATGAGAAGTTCCCATAATCTGAAGGCTACCTTTGAACAGGTAAGGAAGGGAAAATGTTAGAAGTTATTATTAAAGACATTATAACAAGGTCTTTGAAGTAGTAACTTGTACTAAAGATTTAAGAGAATCGTGGATGTAGTGTACTTGGATTTCCAGAAGACATTTGATCAGGTGCCACATCAAATGTTCTTGCAGAAATTAAAAGCTCGTGTAGGGGATAACATATTGGCATTGATAGAAGTTTGGCTGGGTAGCAGGAAGCAGAGAATAGGGATGCATTTCTCTTTTTCATACAGGCAGGAAATCATGAGTGGAGTTCCACAAGGGTCAATGCTAGGACCTCAACTCATTGCAATTTGCATAAATTATGTGGATGAAGGGACCAAAGGTATGGTAGGTGAACTTACCATAAAGAAAGGTGGAAAAGTGAATTATTAAGAGGTCATGAGGAACCTAGAAAGGGATATAGGTAGGTTATAAGGGAGTAGGCAAAGATCTGGCAAATGAAGGACAATGTGAGAAAGTGTGAAATTGTCCATTTTGGCAGAAAGAATAAAAAGCAACATATTACCTAAATGGTGAGAGGATGCAGAAAGATCTTGGTGTCCTAGTGCATGAATTACAGATCAGTATGCTGGTACAGCAAGTAATCAGGAAAGTTAATAGAATTATGTTTTATTGTGAGGAGAATTGAATGCATGAGGAGGGAGGTCATGCTTCAGTCATACAGGATATTGGTGAGAACACATCTGGAGTATTAAGTACAGTACTATAGTGTCTCTTACTTAGAGCTCTTCGTCATTAATAGTTTTCTGCTAGTATATTCTCTCATTGGTTCAAGAATTTTATTAGTGTAAGTTTTTTTTAAAGAAACTAAGCATTTTGTGTGGCGGGTTTAACAAAGAACATCTCCTTTTACAGCTCTTTCATGTTGCAAAAAAATTCAAAGGTTTAGTCTCAGTGGTTCTGCCTTTCTGATATGTTGTTTAAGCCACTGTCATTCGTAGATGGAGGCTGTACAACATTTAATGTAGTAGAAAGACTGCAACATTAGATTATCTCTTCTTTTAATTATAATTGTGTTGTAGTGTCCTGACATTTCATGGAATAGAATCCCTATAGTGTGGAAAGATGCCATTTGACCCATCCAGTCTGCACTCGCCCTCCGAAGACCATACGAGCCAGACCCAAACTCCCACCGTATCCCTGTAACCTCACATTTACCATGGCTAACCCACCCAGCTTGCACATCCCTGTACTCTCAGGCATTTTACCATGACCAATCCACCTAACCTGCACATCTTTGGACTGTGGGAGGAAGCCAGGGCACCCGGTAGAAACCCACACAGACACAGGGAGAACGTGCAAACACCACACAGACATTTACCCAAGGCTGAAATTGAATCATCCGTGTCCCTGGCACTGTGAGGCAACAGTGCTAACCACTGAGCGGCCATGCCATCTATCAGAACTGAAAGCATTCCTTTATTTTGATTTGTAGCATTAATCCAGTGTCATTGAATGTGTCCCTCTTTTGCAGTCGAAGATCGCTTTCACCTTGGATATAGAGACAGGAATGCCTCAAGGATGTTACATCTATCAATATAAGGACAGCAATAAGTAAGTTAGTCTTTTTGGAAGTGCTTCTAGCAGTATTTATTCATGTTTTAATCAGCTTTCAATCTCTATGCTGTATAAGTTGAAACAGCAGGTAGTATGAATTGACAAAAAATATTTAAGTCTGCAGGTAAACATGTCACATTTTGCATTTGTCCTCTTTCTGAGGAGCGCTTATAATGTGTACTAATGTAATAAGTTTCAGTTATTGTAAGTTTTTAAACTTATTTTATTTCATTAACTTTGATAAAGATGAATCAATTAATTTAGTCTGCAAAGTTGGCAGTTGCATGATTGATACTATGATTATGATCAATGTTGGTTTTTGCAAATTGGTACATTTGGGGTGAGGGGATACATTCTGGGATAGTTTTGAATGTTAACTTTGGTTCTCTGAATTAATTATCCAAGGTACAATGTGAAGCGCTGTGCTTGAGAAAGAAACCTGATGGGAATATTTACCTGAATTAGCCTCTAATGTAGACACAATGGCATCTTTGTGACGATTCATGATCCTGTTCATGGGAAGTTTGTGGTCCTCATCAACTTGTAAAGAAGGCTTTAATTCTTCGTTTTGATACATAGAATCATAGAATCCCTACAGTGTGGAAACACACCCTTCGGCCCAACAAGTCCACACCGACCCTTGGAGCATCCCACCCAGACCCATCCCCCTATAACCCACACACCCCTGAACACTACGGGCAATTTAGCATGGCCAATCCACCTAGCCTGCACATCTTTGGACTGTGGGAGGAAACCGGAGCACCCAGAGGAAACCCACGCAGACACGGGGAGAATGTGCGAACTCCGCACAGACAGTCGCCCGAGGCTGGAATCGAACCTGGGTCCCTGGCGCTGACAGGCTGCAGTGCTAACCACTGAGCCACCGTGCCGCCCTCATATGTTGCAACAGCCCCTTTTCCCTTGTCATTAGCTTGGCCATATGTATTTCAGAGCAAATAAATAAACTGTGCATACGACAGAAAATGTACTAAGTAGTTTAGGCCCTGTTTTTGAAAGACAGTTTTTCTAGGCCCGAAACGTCAGCCTTTCTGCTCCTATGATGCTGCTTGGCCTGCTGTGTTCATCCAGCTCTGCACCTTGTTGTCTCTTTTAACAAAAATCCCTCATGTTTTTACATCAAGAGCAGGCTACTATCAGAAGAATTATAATTGAAGTACACTGACAGCTGCTTCAGATACTGAAAAATAGTGGTCCATTCCTGCAGAAAATGATGAGTATCCATACCCTCTGCCCTTGCTTCTTCCCTGTTACCTGATACAGAAACGTTTAATCCAGCTAGTATATGTAATATGTGAGTAGATTTGTTGTATGGAAACTTGTGCCTTCCTGAAATTTGTAAAGCTGTATAAGATTTGGAATTTTTAAACAAAAACCTGCGACAAGTTTCGTAAAACAAGAACAACTGCTGTGTTAGAAATACAATTGATATTTCCAGTCATTAGTTGACTAGCTTTGGCAACAATAAAATGTTCCGTTGTAGATTTTGTTAAGTTTTATAGCGTGCCAAGACAGTACAACATACTGTGTTCACTATGGAAAACACACCCTCGGTGTTATTTCACACATGCTGGAGTTATTTTTTTTAAATATGTAGGTTCCAGTAAAATAATTTTTCTAGAATTAAGTATAATTCTTGTTACCACTTTGATTTCGTAGCTTATCTAATGCCATTTCTTAATGCAGTCCTCCTGACAAATCAGGAAAACTATTAAATGCAAATACTGAAGAAGTTATTAAAAATTTACCCAAAAAGACATTTATTTCTGCATTTCTCCTGTAATATTTGTTTATGTATGTTTTTTGTACTTAATGTGTCTAGAAAAAAATGTATGCAGTACTTTGGATCATTGTGTTAATTACTGTTTGAAAGTTCTCCAGGTTTCATAATATGCATAATGTCACTCTGTGGTGTCAGTCTGTGGTGAACTGGCATCTATTCAAACAATGATCGTTGGAGAACAAAGTATTCCTGGACAGTGTTCTGCAAATTGCAACTGCAACAAGAGCACTACAATTTGGAATTCGGGAGAAAAGGTATTGGGTCCAGATTTTGTGTAGATAATCAGATAATCATGGTGAGGTTAGTAGCACTCACTGAGTAAATCAGACAACAGTCGCTGGCAGCAAACAGCAACAACTGTTTCCAGCTAAACCCAGAAATACTCTAATCCTGTTGTTGTCATAAATAGCCCATTTCTCTGCAGGAAATGCTATATCAGTTTTCACTGATAGATATGCCACTGAAATCAATACAATGGCATGAATTCAGAGTTACGTAGAAGAAAAAGTTTTTTGCATTCAAAAGTAAGTGATTTTTAACCGTGTAATACATGATAATTATACCACACTCTAGCCTTGAAAATGTAGTTATATGTGTCAAATCCCATTCCTTGAGATTTTAATGATTAGAGATTATAGAAAAATGATAGAATCCCTACAGTGTGGAAGCAGGCCTATCAAGTCCACACTGACCCCTTTGAATAGCATCCCACCCAGACCTACCCCCGTATCCTATCCCTGTAACCCTACATTCCCCATGGCTAATCAACCTAGTCTACACATCCCTGGACACTTTCGGCAATTTAGCATGGCCAGTCCACCTAACCTGCACATCTTTTGATTGTGGGAGGAAACCCAAGCAGACAGGAAGAATGTTGCAAACTCCACATAGACAGTCGCCCAAAGATGGGTCCCTGGCACTGTGAGGCAGCAGTGCCAAGCACTGAGCCACTGTGCCACCCTGTACGTTAGCATGATGGAGCTAGAAGATCACGATGGAGCTGATGGGTTCTGAAGGAAAGGAAAGCTGCTTGACAACAATGTTCTGATTCACTCCTGAACAAGCAAACATGGCTTATGTGGAAGCAGTACAGTGGAAAACCACTCAGCCTGCAAAGAAAAAGCATTAAGGAAGCTCTCTCTGTATATTTTTACTTTTTCTTTCTCTTACGATTCAGTTTGATTTTTCATTCTCCTCTCCTCCACACTGTGGACACAATTTTACTTTGATTTAAATATTTTGACTTGCATATCTAAATGACCCCACACGTCTCAGTGAAGATTTGTCAATCTGGTTGAGGAGACGCACTTTGTCTCCTGCTGATACATGTCCCAAGTTCCCAACGGGTGCCATGTTGTTTCAAATATCCAATGGTCATAAATTTCCCCTTAAAAGCCCATGAAAGATCTGTGGGGCACTGTAAACATTGCAAACAGCAAATGCCATTCGTTTGCCACTTTCTTTGAAATTCAGATCACTGCTATTATCATTCATACCTATAAAGCAATTTTGCATAGGGCGTATACTTCCAGCTCACATCGTACATCCCATTACTGCACTCTTTGGTCATGAAGTTCTTTTAACATTTATCATAATGAGTTGCTGTGTTGACAGTTCCCATTTAATTCTGCTGTATCACCCAATAGAATACAGTTCAGTTCCTAGCTACTAATTGGCTTGATTGAATGAGTTTCTGAAGTCTAACAGTTTAGTCGCTGTTTTGCATACTCAAAAAAAAAGTTTGTTTCCTAACTTTGAGTAATGCCACAAATGAGTTACGAGTTGCATATGGATCAATAAACGAAGATAGAGATGTTCTCGAGAATTTTACAGCATTAAACTTCCTTTTATTATAAGTTAGTGAGTAATGCCATAGAAGATCTTATGTTTGTGTACATTACAACTAATCATGTTATTTATAAACCTGGATCAAACTTTTTTCCAATATGCACATTTGGAAAACAACTTAAGAGAAGTATGGAAACTGTTTTTAGTATGCAGGAAACACAATTAAACTATCAAACTACAGGAAAAATGGTGTTGTACAGGAAATGTCTGATCAAGAGAATCGTTACTGGCACTTACATTCAGCTCAAATATACAGAGTTTATATTTGGTGATGCGAATCTGAATCTGGAAGGCTAATCTCTGAAAGGGAGTGGTGTTTGGGGGTGGAAGTCCAGGTTTTACTGCAATTGTTATTACAATATAGTTTTGCCAGGATCAAAATCCTGCTCCAGACTGAACCGTTTTCTTCACAATCTTTCCATTCATTTGGACCCTAACTAAGATTTGAATTCCATAGCATCTCTGCTACCTACTTCCACTTCCAATACATCATCCAGCCCTGCCCCTACTTCAGCTCATCTGATTGTTTAAATTCTCTGTCATGCATTTATCTCCTCCAGACTTGACTATTTCATTGAACAACAAATGAAAAACTGCAGATACTGGAAATCTGAAACACAAACAAATTGCTGGAAAAATTCAGCAGGTCTGGCAGAATGTGTGGAGAGAAAGAGAGTCAACATTTCAGATCCAGACGAACTGAGTTTCTTCAGCAATTACTGTTTTGGTTCAACTATTTCAATGTCCGCCTATATAGCTGATCATTAGCCACCCTTCATAACCTTCATCTCATCCGAAATCTACTGATATCTTACTCAGCCATAATCAGTATCCTTGACGACCTTGATTCCTGGTCCTCTAATATAAAAGCAAAATACTGTGTATGTTGGAAATCTGATATTAAAAAATTGCAAAAGGTCAGATTAAGCAGTATAGATGGAGAAAAAACAGAGTGAACATAATTGTCTGCTTTACATTGTGTTTGATCTTCTCAGACAGAGTGACCAGTTTGAGGAACAGCTCTATTTTGTCCACAAGCACAACCCTGCAACATACATGTAACTGCATTTACGTACCTTCCTTGATACCTTTAGCGAACAAAAATCTGCCAAACAAAATCTTTAAAGCTAAATGAATAAATAGACTTTTATTTTAATCTTGTGGTTCCTGGTCACAAAGTAGCTTGTTGTGTCCTGGAAGAGGCAAGACAAAATAATGGTGATTCAAGCTTTCAGAGCTATTTCAGTAAACAAAGATGTGAGACTGGATTTGTTATATTTAATATAAATAAAGCAAATGTAAAATTGGATCAGAAGAATTTGTTTCAATATTTAAATTAGTTTTTTATCCCA